AATAATACTGATCAATAATATTGAATCAGTAATACTGACAGTATGCATCAATATTTTTAGTATTTTTACAACCTTACACGATCAGTATTATTATTGATAATATATTTAACTTTAATTTTACGTACATTATCTATTGCACTGTATCATACTATATCATATGGATCTCAATAAAGCAATACTGATGCTCAACAATCAAAATCCAGATCACCGTCAGTATTCTACTATATTCAACTATCAATATTATAACCGCACATCAATGATGCAAATAGACAAGGTGTGTTCGTACTTAATCGTAAGACAAGTTTGCGCATACAAACTACAATTATAGAAAAAATAAGAGAAAGAAAATTATAAATAAAACGAATGTAGGAAACTACAAATATATAAAATGACATAATATTATCAATAATATATATTCATTATTATTTAAACTACATAATTTGCAAAAAAGAGTCGTGAGAATTTTATTCTCGCATTTGCAGAATTCGTTTTTAGTTGATTTTATATAGAAACGAGACATTGATATTAGAATTATGAATTTTTACCTCTTTAATTATCTAAACAGATCATGTTTTTAGCAGTATTAATAAAGTGCAATATTTAATTTCCGAGAAATAAAGGGATATTCCTTTAGGCCGGAATCCGACTACGCATTGAAGATAGAGATTGAAGATTGAAATTTGACCATGAGGAGATAAAAGAATTTTGGCTCTTATTGTTTTGATTGGTCACATTTCAATCTTCAATCTCAATCTTCAATGCACGTAGTCTGAGGTTACGGTCCACTTGATGCTTACAAATACAAATGCTTCGAAGCATTTTTTAATTGGTCAATTAGTAAAATTCTTTCTTCCAATTGGCCAATCAAAAACTTCGAAGCATTTGTAGCGTCAAATGGACCGCACTCTGATTCCGGCCTTAGAAGAGCTATGTCAGTATTGGCGACTTTCCTCTAAATCTTTCGATACGTTAACAGATAGTGAGCAGAAAGATATATGAAAAATATGCATGTATAATATGTATAATTCATTATTATTCCAGCTAGATATGCTATTCTGCGCATATGCAAATCTTCAGATTCATTTATGAAAGAAATATATTTGAACAATACGTGTTTCATTTTTTTACAACTGTTATATCACAACTGAGCGTGCATTAACATTACAGTGTTCGAGGATTATTGATATAGCAGTTTCCGTACTATCGAGATCAAGCAGCGCTAAATGTGATACAGCTTAGGATGGTGTGTGATGACACCATGAAATTAATTTCCTAATTCAGGAAAAATTTTTTTTTATTTTACTGTGTGTATTCTGGAATTTTATGCTAATTGATAATAGTTTTTCAGCAATAAAACACTGAATTAATTAATTTCATATCTTTCAGTTTTTCTGGGAGTGTTACATTTATATAATATTATAAGCTGTATATAGTTTCCAATGAATGGAAAATTACAACTAACGTGTACGTTACATGTAACATATACGTTATATTACTTGTTACATTCAGTTTTATTAAAGCAATATAACAATATATATTGTGTTTGCTGGGTAGTCAGCTGTTTCGGAGCGCTGCTTTGCTCATAGTTAGGCAATAGCTATGTTTACACCGTGCGCTTAGTCCGCGATCTATACGATAGGTGTCTTTGTTTAATATACAGGATAAACAAAGACATCTATTGTATAGGCCGCGGCCTAAATGCACGATGTAAACGTAGCCATTGTCGAATTATGAATTTCTTCGCTTATTACACATTTTCGCATGAGTCGGCGGAGTGAAGGAATTTCGCCAGCGAAGCTTCGTTATTTGAAACTGTGTCTTTATACAATTGACTAATATCATGTATGGTAATATATTCATTTTCTATCAATTTCCTTTCTCTCCATTATTTCACTATTATTTCCTTCAATTTCTTCGATATAAATAGTGTATAGAAGTCAAGTGTGTTCGCTTGTGGCCCAAAACAATTAATAAAAATTCTCGAAGTTCTTTTAAAAAAATGATTTTTATTTCTTCTAAAATCTAATTTAAGCGCATTTTACTTGTTTTTATATAGCCTACACTTGGAGTCGCAACTTCGGATTCAGCTTTATTGTATGTAATCCTATCTCCCGTCGGATCTTACTTTAAAGCTACAGATCGGCAAGTCGGGGTTTCCCTGCTTGCAGATCCTAGGTATACGAGAGCATGGCCTGGCGGTTGTGGTAATGCTAAATTAGGCAGCAATTATGGACCTACAATTCAAGTTCAACAAGAAGCCACCGAAAAAGGTTTACAGCAAGTATTATGGCTGTACGGTGAAAACAATGAACTTACAGAAATTGGTACTATGAACGTCTTTGTTGTTTATATAAATAATAACGGAGGTAAGAAGCAATTTTTGATGAATTTTATAAAATGTTTGTGAAAAGCGTCACATAAGGAAGAATAACTGGATTTAATGATTCAGTTTAGAGATCCGATTACTATTCCTATGTTATTTTATACAGAAAGGGAACTACTTACACCACCTTTAAATGGTTTGATCTTACCCGGAGTTGTAAGAAATTCGCTTTTAGCTATATCTAGGCAATGGAATCAGTATAAAGTTACGGAAAGATCTATTACAATGAAAGAGATTATACAATTAAATTCAGATAATAGGGTACGATTTACGTATGCAACATTGTTTCTCTCTCTCTCTCTCTCTCTCTCTCTCTCTTAGCATATTGTCTATTATTACAATTAATTTTTTTGTTATAGCTGTTGGAAATATTCGGAGTAGGTACAGCGTGCGTAGTCAGTCCTGTATCTTATATTGACTTCCAAGGTCAAGAATTGCACATACCAACGATAGAACAACCTGAAGCAATTTATCAGATGCTCAAGAAACATTTATTGGATATACAGTATGGTATTATACCTGATCATCCATGGAGTTTAATCGTTGAGTAAAATATGAATGATAGAAGATTATATTAATTATTTTAATCTACTTAGTAAAATATCTCAAAATCTTTAAGTTTAAGGCAAAGACTGTGTTAAGTTTAAGACTTGTAAAAATGTTCCAAACAAAAGTTGTTTAGTTATTAAGAAGGAAGACGATGGTGAGTTTAGTTGACCTTAAGAAGATATCCTTAAGGTCAGGTCAAAGTTATCTAAAGATTTTTTTAAATGGAATTATATAGATTTTTTTACGTAATGTATAATTCTACAAATTATTCTATTTGACATCGATTCGATGATTTCGACGTCGAATCGACATCGATTCGACATCGATTCCATTGTCATTTCTCACTGGGTAGCAACGTGTCTATCTTGTTGCTGGCATGTTGCTTACTAAGTATGCATTACTAAGCATGTGTTGCTACCAGAATTGCAGCAACTGAGTCCTCATTTGTTGGCAATTTGATGCCTTCATGATATGATAACTTTGAGTAGCAACTTGCCAGCAGTTTGCCGATAACTTTAAAATCGTCGTCATCATCAAAATTCGCACTACTGCCATCATATTGCCATAATAATATGCAGCATCATGCAATGCTTTCATTTTGCATGATGCTATTACCAATAACACAAGATAACATTGATGCAGCTATTTTGCTGTTAAACTGCTGGCAATACATATACACATTGTTGCCTGCATGTTGCTACAATGTCGGTATATTCTAAATCGTTGAAGACAAATCTAAGGCAAGTTGCCAACATCATAAGCAATCACAGATTTGTGTGATTTTGCTGAGACACGCTTTGCTATCTGCGATACTTTACGTTACGCATATCATAGAATTTCAGAGATAAAAGCATTCTTAATAAATATTTATCATAAATATTCTGTGCTGTCTGGGATGTAATTATTAAATTAGTGTTCCTATTAAATTAATGTTAATATTAAAATGATGTTGGCTACGTTTACACCATACGTTTAGTCCGCGGCCTATACCCCAAATTCGACCTAATTTAGGTCACATTATTTAGGCCGCACGCTGTAAACACTATTATACCTGACCCGACCTGTTGTAGGTCAGGCCGGAATTTTTAGCGTCCTCACCTAAAATAGATCGTCTACTTTCTCGGTGTAAACGCGCGACTAACCCGACCTAAAAGCTTCGTAGCAATTTGCTCGGTAGGACACTGCTGTTTTGTTGAATAGTTAGGTTAAACCGGTTTGTTATTTACTTCTAGACTGTGAAAAGACTAACTGATTTGTGCAAAGAACATAAATATTAAAAAAAAGATGGAAAAAAGTTCATGCAGCGATTCAAGTTCGTAAGTATCCCAGGTAGCAAATACACGTCATTTTGACGTCAAATTTTGGTCATTTACTGACCATGGCTGACGTCACTAAATGACGTTTTAATGACGTCATAATCACGTTCTAATGGCTGCGTTCAGCAGACTCAACAGTTTTGCAACCGCTTTATGATTGTCTGCTGAGATAGGACCATTCTTCTAGATCTAAAAGTATGATCCAATCAGCGCGAAGGAAACTTCCAACAGTTGTAAAACAAATGTTCTGCTGAACGCAGCCAATGTCACAAAATTATTGACGTCATTGCAACGACGTCATTTTGACGTCATGTTAGGACGTTTCCAAGCAGCAAATTAATTTAGGTGTCTCGGTAACAAGTTGACATCAAAATGACGTCTTTTGACGTCAAAATGACAAATGCCATCAGCTTTATGCTATCTGTGTTGAGATCTCAACAATTAAGACATAAATATAGAAAACAACCCTTGGGAAAATTTACTTAACAAAACTTAAAAAAAAACTTAAAACCTATTTTAGAGAAAACTTAAAAAATTTGATAAGTAAATTTGGACACTTTAAATTTTTCTTTAAAGTAACTTTAAAATTTACTTAAAGAAAAAACTGGAAGTAACTAAAACTAAAGGAACATAAAAATTATAAAACACATAAGTTAACAATTATAAAATTTTTTTTAAGATAACAATTGTGAAAATATGAATTATGTTTAAATTTCAAAGCAAGCTTTTCTTACTTATAAAAAAGCTTGTCATATAAAAAAATTATTTCATAACAACACGAATAAAAAATCTCTTGTGCCTTTTATTCTATCCTGTATGAATTTTATTTACGAGAAAATGTAGCATTGCTGCGTCCCTCTAGTGGCGG